CAGCCAGCATGCTGGCTGAGGAATTCTGGGAATTGAAATCCACACATCTTAAAGTTGCCAGGTTGAGAAACACCACTCTAGAAAATCTATAATGCTGGGAAAGGTGGAAGGAAAAAGAGGATGCAAGATAAATGGACTCAGTTACAGCGGCGATGGGTGCACATGAAGGGCCAGTTGGGGACAGGTCATCCTTGAAAAGATCTATGTGGTGGCTAAGAGTTGACCCCAACTTAATGGTACATAATCAAATCATGTTTGTATGTATGTGTGTATTCTTGTTTGACCTCCCAGTTTTGATGGAATCTTTCTACAAATGGATGGAAAAGGGAGAAGCAAGGCAATTCCAAATAACAGTGAGAAACCAGCCACATCCTGGACCTTAAGTTTCAAATCTTCTACCATATGGTAGCATGACATCAGATATTAAATGGACATGTAGTTGATATTCCTTACATTGGGCTCTCTACATTTAGCTGCAGAAAGAATGGATCTCTTTCTGAGTAGAATATTCTCCATGACTGCACTCTGAGAGTAATTTTTGAAGGGATGAGGGCAAATTCTGCCTTGCAATTTCATCTTCATTAAAACTGGAAATAGAAATACCATATTTATAACTGCACAATTAAGGGCATATTTCTGCAGTGCTCTTTCTGCAACAGTATATATTTGACCAGAAGCCACGATCAATAAAGATCTGCTTACAAAGGTGTGCTTATTTGCTAGGTTTTGTTTCTTAATATTTTGAGATGGATATCGAAACCTTGGATACAGATTTCTCTCAGCCTCTGCCCTGAAAGTAAACGTAAGCTTACCTGTATAGAATAATGTGTTCTAGCCTAAAACACGTGTGTAGTTTTTTTCTGAGCAAACAGCTACATTTGGTATGCCAAGAGCTGCACTCCCAAAGTATGTTATGAGGCCAGGACAAAGACTATATTGGATTTGATTTCATTCATCCTTATGTTTTAAATTTTTGTATTTAATAAAATAATAAACCACCTCTCCCATATGCAAGTAATTCATATTGTACTTTAAATCCATTCAGTGATTCCTCCACTTCCTCCTCACTGTCCAAAGATGCTTAACATGGTGCTAAGCTTGCAGGGAGAGTCTTCAGCCAATTGTTGCCCAGTCTGAAGTGCGGGATGGACAAAATCTGGTTTTCAAGGAACTGTAAGGAAACAGCTTTTAGGACTTTGCAATGTATCATCCACCAGTTTGCTATCAATAGCATGCAAGAGGGAAAAGTGCGTCCAGCCAAAAAGGTGAAGATCACTCACTGTGCCTTCAACTGGTAATTTACACCTTTTGTCACATTGAAGACTGACATGTCTTAAAAACTTTGGAAAGACTACACCCAAGATTTTCTGGGATTACTCTGGGGCCTCCGGTTATGATCTTCTGTACTTCAACAGCTGAGTCAGTTGGGAAGGCTGATGCTTCATTATGGACAACAGCTGCTGCTTCTAGTGTAGCAAAGCTTTTGCTAACTACAGGCCATTTCCTTTCTAAATGTCATAAGAAGCAAAGCTGCTGATACCTGGGTGAAGCACCTCTAGCTACAGTGGAGCTGGAAGGATCATTTAGTGTAATTCCTGCTTTGTATAATGCAAATTAAAGCCTCCCAGACAAATGACTGCCTACCTCTTCTTGAACACACCTGGTGAATGGGAACCCACCACACCTCTGGGAAGGTGATTCCACTGTTGAACTGCTCTGTCTTTTGCAATCTTAAAAAAAAACAACTGGAATCTGCCTTCCTGTAATTGAAATCCATTATTCTGCATCCTGAACTCTGGAATGATGGAGAACAGATCTTGCCCTTCTTCTGCATGACCTTCTTGCAGATATTTGAAGAGAACTATTATATCCAACACCATCTTCTCTTCTCCCTCCCAATTTCTTCAATGTTTCTTCATAGATCTTACTTTTTAGCTTCCTGATCATCTTCACTGCCGTTCTCTGAACCTTTTCCTGTTTGTTTGAATCCATCTTAAAGTGTGGTGCTAGCAACGGACACAATTCTGAAGGGAAGATCTGATCAATCAAATGGAATCATGACTTCCCATCATGTGGAAACTATGCTGTGTTGATGAAGCCTAAAATTGTACTTTTTTTGGGGTAATGACATCACATTTCTGGTTCATATTCAGCTTGTTATTCCAAGATCTTTTTCACAAACAGTATTACCAAGTTATGTGACCCTATGTCCTATACCTGCACATGTTGGTCTTTGCATTTGTCTCTATTAAATGTTATTCTATCATTTTCAGCTTACATTTCTAAGCTATTCATGCTCAATTTATTTTAGTCTTTTAGGGTATAAATTTTGAATCCATCTGCAATTTTGTTTCAAGTGTTATTTTCAAGCCACTTATCCTGCATCCTGTATCAGTGCATTTTTTCTATTTCCCAAGTAAGCTTGTCTTTTATAGTGATTGGAAAAACTCATTTTTATTTTTGGTATGAAGCTTTTTCCTCTTGGTACAGAAACTGAGATATTTTACATCTGCATGTCAAACTGTTCCACAAGGGTGATAGTTGAATCTATCATTGTCATTATTCCTTTCAACGTGCTTGAAAAGGTATACCCTTGAATTCTGTTGACAAATGGACATTCCTGAAATTCTAGGATAAATGAAGAAGCTGCTGAGTTTTTTGTCCTTGGAAGAAGTAGAATGAGCCTATATCTTTATCTGCCAATTGATTCATTGAGTTTATCAAGAAAAAACATTTCCAAGTTTTGTTTTTCTTGATTAATTGATAAGTTAAGTAACCTTATCATATACACAATGTACACAGATGGTTACACAGTCAGAAACTAAAAAAAGAAACCCCAAGATTTCTTAAGAGGGAATCCTAAAACTAGAATTCACTCCTTTGTTTTTGGGATGTGTCACTGATCAGAATTAACCAAGACAAGGAGGTAGAAGGCTAGATATAAATTTTCAATTTAGCATGGGCAGGATCAGCTTGCAGGTATGAAGGGCCATGCTCTAAATCTGAAGAATTGATGTGAAAATCACTTCTTTTAATTGTCTGATGTAAGCATGTTGTGTTTGAATTTTATTTGTAATGCCATTGTGCGTATTTTATCTTTTCAGGATACAAATCTTTCCAAGGCAACTTACCTCTAGTCTATTTGCACTAGCTTTATTTGTAGATAAAACAAATATTATGAAAGCAACTGAAACCAGGGCTCCCTTCTCTAAAACATGAGGGCTTTTTCAGCTGCAACCCTTTGCAAGGAAAGGGCAAGTGTTACGTTCATTCCAATGCGTCATTTTGGTATTTTGATATATTTGTTGATTTAAATGTGTTTGTCGGTCCTTGGATTTCTACCTTTTCTCCCTTCCACTATAAGAAAGGGCTTACCTTCAAAGAATTTTTAAAGCTGTATGAAGGAGACTTCTCATGACCATCTGTGTTTTCTTCCCGTTTCTTGCAAAAAAGTAGGATTTTTGCATATAAGAAGAGATGCCTCTGCATTGGTTTGAACCTGGCCAAATCTTTTACTTTGTTGTGTCCCTTCTTGTGATCTGTCCAGATGTTGAAAGAGCCCTGAAGGAGCAATTTACCAAGTTCGTGCACATCTCCCTATATGAAGAGAGAGACAGGACAGGAGGAATACAAGAATAAAGCAAGTTTTTATTCTAGTCTTTTTTCCCAACAATCTTAGCTTCACTATAATTTCATACTCGGTTTCCAGATAGATAGTCAGACTCTACTGCTGCAAAAACAAGAAGTCTTGGGCCCTCTATATTTTTATTTATTTATTTTCGAGACTGCCCAACTCCAAATGACTCTGGGCAGTCTCTAAAATAAATAAATAAATAAATAAATAAAAGTTTATAGGGCCCAAGACTTCTTGTTTTTGCAGCAATAGAGTCTGACTATCTATCTGGAAACCAAGCATGAAATTATATTGAAGCTAAGGTTGTTGGGAAAAAAGGCTAGAATTAAAAGCAAGAATCAACATTAAGAAAGAGATTTCAGACATGCAGTAGAGAACAGTAACCAACCCAAACAATAAAAAAACACCTACACAGGCTTAAATTGCATGAAGATGTAAGGTTTC